TTGATAAGGCCGATAAGTATAAACCTTACTACGTCACAGATTATATTAGAAGATATCCCGAGGAATCCCCTGGGACAGAATTTGTTGTCTTTGTAGAATCCTCAGATAGTCAGAAAACCATTGGATCCAGAGACTTGCTCTCACTCTCCTCCTGTTTAAAACGATTTAATAAAGGGGTAACTTATCTTAGATCTATAAATAAATTCAAAATCGGAGTATACTTTCAAAAGCCAGACTTAGCCAATGCTTTTTTAAATAATAAAACTTTTTTAAATGACTACCATTTTAAGGCCAGTATTCCTGCTTCTTCAACAGAAGTTACAGGCGTTATTAGAAATGTACCTACAAATATATCTAATAAAAAAATATATACTATGATATCGAGTTCTAAGAAAATTATTGCTATTAAAAGAATTTTAAGAAAAAATACCTTGACTCATGGATATGTGTTACAGCCAACTCTAACCGTGACAATTACTTTTGCTGCATCTGTATTACCTGAATATCTGGATATTGGAGGTTGGCGCCACAATGTCACTCCATATATACCACCAGTTAAACAATGCTACCGGTGCTTGAGGTATGGACATTTAGCTAAATTCTGTAAGAATTCTGAGCGTTGCAGCATCTGCAAAGGTGAGCATAATTATAAAACTTGTACAACTGGAATGGAAAACGCTATTTGTGTACACTGCAATGGAAATCACACAAGTGTATCACCGCAATGCCCTGTTAAACAAAAGAAAATTGCTGAAAATAGATCTAAATTCAGACCTGCTTCTTTTGGAGATATACTTAGCACTGAAATATTTCCTAAACTGGGTAACAAACCTAAAAAAAATGTAGACCTAATTTCAATTCTAAATTCTGATAACAAGAGTTTATCACTTTTAATAGAAAGCATAATCAAACTTATTTCACTACATAACACAAAGAACACATCTATTAACACTAAAAGTGTTTTGAATGTGTTATATGATACTTTTGGTAATAGACCTATTTCACAAAATTCAATCGAGACCAATTAACTATCATACAGTGGAACGCTCAGAGCCTACTGAGCAATCGACATATTTTTACACAATTTTTAAATGAACATCATATTCACATTGCTCTCATCTCAGAAACTTGGCTAAAACCACATTACAAATTAAAAATTAAAGATTATTGTATAGAACGAAATGATTGTGGTAATAACCACAATGGAGTAGCGATTATTATACATAATAGTATTAGATATAAAAAACTTCACTCTTTTTTCGACAATTCTTTGCAAACTATAGCTATTAGTATTGAAGTTAATAATTCTTGGTATTCAGTTGCCAGTATTTACTGTCCTACCAATAGTACACCTAGTTTTACTAAAGCCAAATTTAAGTTCTTTTTGGAGTCTCTTCCTAAACCCACTATCATATCTGGAGATTTAAATGCACATCATACTATGTGGGGTTGTACCTCCACTAATACAAGAGGTAAAGACATTCTTGATTGTTTAGATGAATGTAATTTGGTACTATTAAATGATAAGCAAGTTACTACTGTTGGCTCTCATATTTGGAGACCCAATGGCCTTGATTTAACTATGGTATCCCCATCCATATCATTAAAATGCGAGTGGTCGGTTCATGATGATCCGTTAGGAAGTTATCACCTGCCGACTTTTACTAAAATAAACACAAAGAACTCTTCATCAACTCCGTCAGGTGAACAACATGCTCCTATAGATGAAGTTAATAAACTTTTGTTAAATCGTATAAACCTACGTCTCGTTAATTGGGATCTTTATTCTGAAACTGTTAATCGATTACTTTTGGATTTCGAGTATGATGTCAATGAACCCTTAAACAATTACAATAGGTTCTGTAAAATTATTTTGACAGCTGTGGAACGTTCCGTTCCACGTAGGAACTTATCAAATAGCGGTGCAAATACTTCAAAGAGGCACAAACATATTGCAGTACCTTGGTGGAATAACAGGTGTGCGACAGCTGTCAATGATAGTAAAGCGGCTTACCTTAGGTTTAAACAAAATCCAACTCTCGATAATTACATAAATTTTAAAAGAGTTCAAGCTGTTAAAAAGTTAGTAATTAAGCAAGTAAGACAACAGGGGTGGCAGGAATTTTGTTCCAAATTTAATAGATTAACACCAATTTCCACTGTTTGGCAAAATATGAGAAAACTAAATTCAAAACATCGTCAAAATCATTTTAAAGATATATCATGGGTCAATGATTTTTTACGCAAATATACTCCTGATTTTGTACACTCACCTTTTGATGACAAACAGTTTAATTCTGTTAATTCATGCCCAAAATTTCTCACTGACCCATTCTCAATTGATGAAATATCCAGTGCAGTAAAATCTAGAAAAGATACAGCTAGTGGCCTTGATCGCTTAACATACAATATGTTTCGATTGCTGAATAAAATAAACCTTACTAAACTCTTACAAATTTTTAACGATTTATGGAAGGACTGTATTATCCCACCAGAATGGAAAATGGATTGTTTGATTCCAGTAATTAAACCCGGTAAAGATCCTACAAATTTCGACTCCTATAGACCTATAACATTGACGTCCTGTGCAGGCAAATTATTCGAACAATTAATTAAACAGCGTTTAGAGTTCTTTATTGAAAGTAATAGTATATTACCATCGAATCAATTTGGTTTTCGCCGTGGATATTCAGCGCGCGAAAGTTTAGCGAACTTCTATGTCGACCTTAGTACTGCTTTGAATAACGATGAATATGTTCTATCTGTTTTTTTAGATGTCGTAGGAGCTTTTAACAATGTAAATTTAACAGTTCTATCTTCGATTTTATCCTCATTTCTTCCAATGAAACTTATCGAATGGATTTATAATTTTCTTAGTAATAGAGAAGTGTATGTTAAAGTAAATAGTAAATTAATAGGACCTAGGTTAAGCTCTAAAGGAGTATGTCAAGGTGGTATTCTAAGCCCGCTACTATATATTTTATATATCTATAAACTTAATTCAATTTTAGGAAACAGTGTGAACAACTTGCAATTTGCCGATGATTTATTAATTTATATAAAAGGAAAGAATATTATTGATATGCAATTAGTGTTAAATGAGTCATTAAAAAGACTTGAGAAATATTTTTCTCTTCTTTCCCTCGATATTAGTTTAACCAAAAGTAAAGTAGTTGTTTTTCATCAAGTTCATAAATATGTTCCATTAATGAATATTATATATAATAACCAAACTCTTCCAACAGACTGTAGCGTTAAATTTCTGGGGGTAATTTTTCATCAAAATTTAAAATGGGATCTATACGTTGATTGCTTAGTAGATCGTGCTTTAAGAGCCACTAATATAATAAGATCTGTAATTGGTCGTAACTGGGGAGCTGATCCTAAAATTATTCTTTTACTTTACAAATCTCTTGTTAGAAGTAATTTTGATTACGCTTTCTTTTGTTATGCCTCAGAACATAAATTAGTAGAAAAACTCGAAAAAATTCAAAATATGAATTTAAGACTTATTTTAGGTGCTATGTATACTTCTCCAATTATCTCAATGCAAGTAGAATGTAATTTGCCTCCTATTCTTCTTCGTTTCGAATACCTAAAACTCAAATTTCTCTGCAAAGTTTTTTCAGTTTCCAATAACCCACTCATACTCAAATTATTAAATTGCCCCATTTCTATGTTTTTGAATAAAACTATTGTCAATGATTTGAATTTACGAGATGAATATAACATCTATAGTAGTAAGATACTTCCTTGTTATAATGGCCTTTATGAGAGTAAGTTCTGTAAGATCAAAATTGTTATACGTAAAGACATAAAAGAAAAGCACGATATGTATGAGACTTTATCAGAATTTATTGACTACAGGCAGATATATACAGATGGTTCCAAAAATGCACTTAGCACTTCAGTGGCTTTTTACGATTTGTCAAATAGATTTGGTCACGGTTATAAAATTTCAACTTTGGCTAGTATTTACACAGCAGAAGCAAAAGCTATATTTTTAGCATTAGAATACATAGAAAAACAGGTACTATATTCGAAATGGATTATAATTACAGATAGTATGAGTGTTCTTATGGCATTAAAAAATAACACATTCATTTCATCATCAAACTACTTAATTCAAGAAATTCGTAATAAATATTATCATCTCTGTACTATATATGGAAAAGATATTATCTTCATCTGGACCCCTTCACATATTGGAGTGTTTGGGAATGAACAAGTAGACACTTTGGCTAAAATTATTAATTCAAGTGCTGCTCGTGTTCAAGATTTACCCCTTTGTTACTCAGATTGTAGTATTGGAATACATAAAATCGTTACAACTAAATGGGAGGAGCATTGGACTCAAATATTACAGACTAAAGGCAAATGGTACCGCAAAATTAATTGGCGTATTGGAAAACCGTGGTTCTGCAAAGGAAAGGACACAAACAGAAAATTTTACTCCAATATTTGTAGATTACGAATCGGCCACGGACATTTCAACGAACACCTGCACCGAATGGGCATGATCGCTTCCCCATCATGCACATGGTGTAACTCAAATACAGCCCAATCTCTACATCACCTTTTTTTTGATTGCTCTGAATTTTCCATTCAAAGACACATTATGTTTGACGAACTTAGGATTATCTTCAAAAAACCCGAAAATATCCCGCACTCAATCCCGCTTCTCTTAAGATTTCCTTCTTGTTTCAAAGCTATTTTCACTTATATTACTACAACATTCAAGGAGCTATAAGAATACTTTTATTGAATTGCAAGACAATGATTTTTTATAATTATTTATTTTTAATTTGATAAATCCACTGGTTTAAGAAAACTCAAGAAAAGATATTTATGAAAATGTACTTACCGGATTTGACAAATGAAATATTGAAGATTATGACAATAATTGAAGCGACATTAGAAAAATAAAATTCCAGACAAATTATCTTTTTGAAGACTAGGCAGCATGGTCTCCGACCTTAGCCTGTTCCAAACGGAACAAACGTACTAAAAAAAAAAAAAAACTAAGAAGTTTTTGCCGCTCTTGGTATACTTATATTTCTCAATGAAACGTTTTTATTATTTCACCATCCTTTTTTAATTAGAAAATCAATAATTGCAAGTAATGTTTGACGCATTTTTATAATGATACTATAACCGCTACAATCCTTTCACCATCGAATCTCGAAACGGTCGTCTCGGCAAAATGACTTCGATCATCAAGTTACACTGTCTTTCCGGAGCTGGTGATGAGTCTCCACCATGTTACGTGCTGCAAATTGACGAATTCAAGTTCCTCCTCGATTGCGGTTGGGATGAAAAGTTTGATATGAACTTTATAGGAGAATTGAAAAGGTAAAACATAGGTTATGTTTTTATCAATAGTTTGCAAAGTTTTTATAAAGATATCTACGATTTTTTCCTAATCTATTTAGTCCTTTAAATTGTCCATATCACCCTTTAATTGTGGTGTTTTGCCAGCTTGACAGTCGAGTTGACAACTGCAGTTAGGCTCTGCTGATGTTTAAAGAGGGACACTGCTGCCCATCACTTGACTATTAAATTTTGTTAGTCTCTTATAACATCCAAGAGAAAAGAAGGTGTAGCCAATTCTTTGCTGGGACCACATAGCTAATTAATATACCAACTAATTAGTAATCAAATAAAATTATATTGATAAATGATTATTATTGATGCTTTTCCTTTGACAGAAAAAAAAACAATACACAATCATGGCACCATTAATATAATACCAATGTGAATTAGTAACCTCTTCTTTTATTAATTCTCTTTAAATAGCTTTCAATGAAACTTAAGTTTTTTTTTAATTCCAGGCATGTAAACTCTATTGATGCAGTATTACTATCTCACTCTGATCCTTTGCATCTTGGCGCCTTGCCATATGCTGTCGGTAAACTCGGACTAAACTGCCCAATATATGCCACATTGCCAATATACAAAATGGGCCAGATGTTCATGTATGACTTGTACCAGGCACATCGGAATGTGTCAGAGTTTGATTTGTTCACATTGGATGATGTTGACGCTGCTTTTGACAGAATTACACAGTTAAAGTATAATCAGAGTATAGATATGAAAGGTGAGTAATGGTTAATTATTTTACTACATATGATTATCCTGCCAATACCATTAATTCATTTATATGCTCTAGGGATCCATACTTATTGATTTACTATACTCCTACATTCAATCACTATATTTCTTCAACTTCTAAACAATATTTACATAATTAGGCTCTCAGTTAAACCTTCTACAAAAAATGATATTATTCCATATAAAGGCAAAGGTCTAGGGGTTCGCATCACACCGCTCCCTGCCGGCCACTCTCTCGGCGGTACAGTGTGGCGTATAGCAGCTCCAGGAGAAGAGGATATTGTTTACGCACCGGACTTCAATCACAAGAAGGAACGCCATCTGAATGGGTGTGAGATTGAAAAACTGATGAGACCATCACTCCTATTGTTGGGTGCAATGAATACTGATTATGTCCAACAAAGGAGGAGATTGAGAGATGAAAAGTTGATGAGTGAGTCATATATATCTATCTATTGCTATCAGTCTTCTTACAGGCTTTAAATAGATCTGATTGTAATATACTTGAGTTTAGGAAAGGAAAACCAATGCAAATATGAGTATTGAAAGGGTTTTTAAATGGGTGATAACAAAATATTATAGTAACTTGTGCGCTGGTGGGCTATTAGTGAGTGATGATAGGTGAAGATGAAAATACAGGTCTGTTAGCCCATCATGACAAATTCAAGAAGAATTTAATACAATAGTTTATAGGGAGGATCGCATGGAGGTAGACCTGATAGGGTATATTGCTAGCAATGGGGCAGTTAGATCCCCATTACTAACAATCCCTTTCCCCTCATTGAGAAGGTGATAGTGGGTTAAATATTCTTTGCTGTAAAAAATGTAATTTAAACAAAAATTGATGATTAAAAAGAGCTTGTAAACTATTTGAATGAAGATTATTTCTATTCTATGATACTATAAAAAGAAAAGATTTTATTTTTTGTTTGTATTATCAATGAGTAACATAGGCTATATTTTATTTTGAAGAAAACCATGTAAAATTGAGCTGGGCTATGGAACTAGTCAGATTTTATAAAATGATATTATTATTTAATTATCACTCTTATTACTAGTAACATATATATTATTCATGCAATATTTTTACTGATACCTTATGTATCACTAAAAATTAAAATTTTTGCAAGTAATAACTTTAGAAGCAAAATATGAGATAGGTACTAAATTTACTATAATAATATATTTTTGTGTAACTTGTATTTTTATCAATATTAAAATCGGAAAAATATAGATAAATTAAAATCTATCGGAGCAAATTTTAAATATTTAGAAGAATTGAAAATTGTTTATTTTGAAAAATTTATATCAAGTTTTGACAGAAATAAATCATGCTCTATCACAATTACAATTCAGCAACAATCCTCACAACACTCCGCGGAGGCGGCTGCGTGCTCGTGTGCACGGACACGGCGGGCCGTGTTCTAGAGTTGGCTCACATGCTGGACCAGCTGTGGAGGAACAAGGACTCGGGGCTGGTCGCCTACTCATTGCTACTGCTGTCCAACGTCAGCTACAATGTCGTTGAGTTCGCAAAGTCACAGGTAAGTTTATTGAATAATCATTTTTAAAACCAAAATCGGACTTTATATGAAATTGACTGATTAAGTCCATCTCTGCTGCCAATTACTGCCATGCAAGTGGCTTGCTGTGTTCTGCCAAATAATAATTATTTAATTTATACTAGCTGACCTGGCGAACCTCCTACCGCCTAACAGTCAATGAATGGGGGGAAAGGGATTGTTAGTAATGGAGACTGAGAATCCCATTGCTAGCAATATACCCAACCAGGTCGACCTCCTCGCGGTTCTCCCCAGAAACTATCATGGTTAATTCCTGATGAATTCATCATGATGTGCTAACTGGCCTGTTTTCATTCTCATCTATCACCACTGGTGCTCCGCCAGCGTATCCCGTTAGCGCAGGCGGGGTTACCATACCATTGTCCATTATGCTTGATTGTCATGCTCATTGTAAACTGAAAAAAAATATTACAGATAGAATGGATGAGTGACAAACTGACGCGTGCCTTCGAAGGTGCCCGCAGTAACCCATTCGCTCTCCGCCACCTGCAGTTATGTCACTCAGTGGCTGAAGTGGTCAGAACACCGGGCCCCAAGGTGGTACTGGCATCGTTCCCGGACTTGGAGGTTGGGTTCGCTAGAGATCTGTTCCTACAGTGGGCTCCGCATCCATCTAATTCTATCGTTTTAACAGCACGGTACGTGAAATTGCGGTCCATTTTTTTTTTATTCTAATTTTTATTGAGGCTTTAGAACACCTGAGCGACTATGCCAGTTAATAATAAGTAACAAACATCAATTATTTTTATGAATTTACAATAAATATTTAAAGTCAGTGAATACTGAACTTGAATATAAACATTTTATTTATAATATTATCATTCAATGTCAAGGATCTTATTAATATATGATACATTATTTTTTCTTAGACATCTCCCACGTATTATGTATATATATCTCCCACGTATGTCTATTTACAATTTTGATATATTTGAAAAATTATATATTCCACGGACAGGACTTCGCCCGGCACGCTAGCTCGGGACCTGATCGAGCATGGCGGGGACCGCGTCCTGGAGCTGTCCGTCAGGCGCCGCGTGCGGCTCGAGGGCGCCGAGCTCGAGGAATACCTGCACAACCAGAGGCTCAAAATCAACAATTCCATCAAGTAATGTTTTAGTTCACTTTGACATTTCAAGTCTTTGGATAGTATTTATTCAAATTGGAATTCTATCCTCTACCAAGTATGAATGAGCTATATAGGAGTTTTTTTTTTTTAATGAGTGATAATGGAATGGTTACCCCACCCCCGCTATCGGTATACATCGGCGGGGCATCAGTGAAAGATGATAGGTGAGGATGAAGCAGGTCAGTTAGCCTATCGTGACGAATTCAACAAGAATTGTTCACGATAGTTTCCAAGGGGAACCACGTGGAGGTCGACCTAATAGGGCATATTGCTAGCAATGGGGCTGTCAAACTCCATTGCTAACAATCCCTTTCCTCTCGCTATATAGGAGTTTGCCTGTGACAGGGAGGAGACGGCCGGCATCTCGTCGGACTCGGACTCGGAGGGCGAGCTAGAGATGTGGGTGGTGACGGGACGGCACGACATCCCCGTAGCAGGCCCGGCACGCGCCGCCGGCTGCTTCAAGGCCAACAAGCGCCACCACGCCATGTACCCGTGCCACGAGGAGCGTACCCGCGCCGACGACTACGGCGAGATCATCAAGGTAGGTACCTACTGCACTCACTACTGCTGCTTCACAGCAAACGACAACAACATAATTGCGCCCTGCTGCAGCAAATTTTGAAAGTGCTTGATTTACACTATTCCATTATAATATACTGCTAGGTTACAGTGACCGTTTACCATCAAATAGGCTGTATGCTTGTTTACCACCTTTGTGATGTAAAATATATATATATAAAAAAATAATTGTACAAATTTTATCACTTATCATTTCATATCTTTACTCATCTAAATCTATTACAGACGTATATGATACTATAGTCAGTTCAATTCTAATTGTTTTTACAGTAATCAATTTTTTTAATATATTTTTGATGACAACAATTAGTTTTTATATTAAACTCCATAGAAATCAAAATGCAGTTGTACACAGTCTTAGGAAAATTAATTTAAATAAATATTCCAATTCATATCATCTTTATCCAAAATATTATAAAAAGTTATTTACACTTTTAAATCGTTATATAATTTAATAATTAAATTTAATATAAAAGATAACTTATTATCTAAATTTATCTGAAATATAATAATACTTATTAAAATTTATTCTATTTGCAGCCCGAAGACTATAGACTTGCTGAAATAGTGGACGCCGAAGGAGAAATTCGAGACGTGCCCCCTGCGCCACCACCAAAACAAGAGCCAGACGGTAGGTGAAATTTATATCTACATTATACTTAACCTTAATAAAACTGGGTATATGTTAACTCACATTTCCATACATAAAATAATCTGTAAATAAGTTTTTCTTAATTTTAGATAAAAAGAAATTTCGTATACCTATATGAGATAGTGTTTATTGTGTTTCTTACACAAATTAGTTATGAAATTATTATTATAGTTGGAAATACTTTATTTTGGACTATGTTGTATCAATTATTATGCCTATCCCTTCAACATAAGCTCCCTTAGTCGCCTCTTATGACACAAAAAAGGTAGGAGTGGCCTGTTCTATGCTCGGACCATTATGGCTAATTTCGGACCATAAATGTGTTTATAAATGTTTAAAAGCCGGACAGCATAACTAAATTTGTTTTTGCTGTATTTTTTATTCTAATAACAACTAGTTGAGAAAATATTGTTTTGTTTTTTTTTTTATCGTCAGAGGTTTTTTCATATCAGAGGTTCTTTTTTAATGAGTGAAAATGGAATGATAACCCCGCCTGTACTATCGGTATACACCGACGAGGTACCAGTACAAGATAATAGGTGAAAACGAATGCAGGTCAATTGGTCCACATAATGAATTCGATAGGAAATATCCATGATGGTTTCAAGAAAAAGTAAGGTTCCCACTTTTTATTTATATTTTATTTTGGATTAGGTGAAGGTCGATAGGTGACAATGAAAGCTACACAGAATTAACCACGATGGTTTCCAGGCGGAGCCGAGTGGAGGTCGAGCTGATAGGGTGTATGTATGTACGTAGCGATGAGGCTGTTAAATGTCACGAGTAACAATCGCTTTCGCAGAGGAGATGATGGAGATCCCTAGCAAGTGCGTGACGACGGTGCGCGAGGTGGCGGTGCGCGCGCGCGTGCTGCACGTGGAGCTGGAGGGCCGCTGCGACGGCGAGTCGCTGCAGCGCGTGCTCGCGCACACCAAGCCGCGCCGCGTGCTCGGCCTGCGCGCCGCGCCGCGCGCCCAAGCCGCGCTGCGGTCCGTCACACAGACACTCATTTTTTTTTATTCACCTTAGGCCGCGCTGCGGTCCGTCACACAGACACTCTTTATTTTTTTTATTCACCTTAGAATGGCAAACAAGCCGACGGCCCACCTGATGGAAAGTGGTAACCGTCGCCTATAGACATGAGCGGTACCGCGTACAGCATGGCCATGTATCATTGCACATATGTATAGATTACAAGTGTACAAATCTTTCAAATCCAAAGTATTACTGTAGTCTAACTATTTATTGTATAACTAGTATTGTAGTTTTTATAAATTTTCATACTAATAATAATATATTATGAATACGCGTGTCGTGACGGCCTTTAATTGAGGCAGCATTTTATAATGTAACCTTATTATTTACCAGAGGGAGACTTTGTACAAAAGTCGATTGCTTGAGTACCTCTGTCCCATTCGTGTTTCAACCGTGAATCAGTTGTGTTTGCATAGATGTGTTTCGGTTTGAAGAGTGGGATACGGCGTGAATGTACTGGGTACAGAGGAATAACACCTGAGTCCTCAGGAATGGCAATGCACAGGGGGTATCATGGGCGAAACAGCATACTCTGTTATGTCCATAGTACTACTCATGTCTATAGGCGACGGTTACCACTTTCCATCAGGTGGTCCGTCAGCTTGTTTGCTATTCTAAGTTGTATAAAAAAAAAACGCATCCATTTGATGGATTGTTAAAACGAAATGCACCTAGTATATTATATAGTATTATTCCTTCCTAATGGGCCATGGTTGAAAAAAATAATGCCTGTTATTTAATAACAGAAATTAGTGTGTAATCATTATTGCACATGGTGGTACTGGATACACTGAGATGGATGCCCCAGATGATTCCTGCTGGAATTATTTAATATTAAATTTGTATCTATAATGAGTTTACTACTGTAGTCTTTTAGTGGAAACAATAAAAAGTATCTATATATCTTTATCCAAGTATGCATACATACACACACCACGTTTTTACACATATACTTTTTAATCGTTTCAGGAAACAATGTGAAGCTGAGGGCATAGATAAAGTTTATACCCCCAAATGCGGAGAAACCGTTGACGCGACCACGGAATCGCATATCTACCAGGTATGAACAATTTTACGTATAGAGAACATTGTTAAATTAGATCTCTAATGTTCTGTTAATGATACCATATCGGAGGCCTATACCCGTCACGTGGTATGCGATACAAATTCGAAATATATATATATATATATATATATATATATATATATATATATATATATATATATATATATATATATATATATATATATATATATTTGTAAGTGCCACACAATCACACCAATGGCCTGATCCTCAAGCTGAGAGCAGTGTTGTGAAGAACCAGGCAACTGACATTGGGGGTGCTCCCCAATTCAGAATGTTTTAACATATATAGGATGTGAAAGTGATAGGTAATGTTTGCCGAAATGGTTCCCGCTCAGCGTTATGCTGCAGTCGAGCGGCTACAGCGCTGATTTTCAATGGGACCCGTTCAGAAAGGACATAATTAACAATCCCTTTACACCAAACTAGGAATTACTTATTTGCAAGGTATGGAATCCTGTAATTTCACTGCTGTTTCCTTTCAAACCGAAACACAGCCGTGTAAGCACAGCTTCTCCACAGCAGAAACCAGAGTTTCTACCGTAAAGACATGCCCGATGTGAACATTTACGAATCGATCGAAAATTAATTAACCTATTTCAAAAAGTAGAAAGTTCTTTGTGATCTCAACTGTGCTTCTTAAAGGTTTCACAATTAATATATTACTGGGTTTTGGCTTGGTATACTCATAATGTCTAACCCTGTTGTTTGTTTGCAGGTTAAACTGACGGACGGTCTACTCTCCCAACTGTCGTGGCGGTCGGCCGGCGACACGGAACTGGCCTGGGTGGCGGCCACACTGGCTCCACGCGCTCGGTCCAGGGAAACGGCCCCGGGTGACGGTATTTATTTCATCATCAGATCAGCCGTTAACTGTCTACTGCTGCATGTAGATTTTGGGTTGTGCCAATTGTAGCAACCTACGAGGGAAAGAGATTGTTAGTAATAGAGACTGAAAATCCCATTGCTAGCAATATACCCAACCAGGTCGACCTCCTCGCGGTTCTCCCTGGAAACTATCATGGTTAATTCCTGATGAATTCATCATGATGGGCTAACTGGCCTGTTTTCATTCTCATCTATCACCCTTCACTGGTGCTCCGCCAGCGTATCCCGTTAGCGCAGGCGGGGTTACCATACCATTTTCACCCATCAAAAAAAAAATGCTATGCTCCAAATATAAGTTTTTATAAGGGTCGCTAATAAAGAGTATAATATAATGTTTGCGCGTACGCAGATGAGAATAGTATGGAGGTGTCGATGTCGCTGGAGGCGAGCAGCGCGGGCGCGCCGCACGCGGCGGCGTTCGTGAACTCGCTGCGGCTCTCGGAGCTGCGCGCCGCCGTCGCCCGCCTCGGGCTCACGGCCGAGTTCACGGCCGGCGCGCTCGAGTGCTGCAACGGCACCCTCGCCATACGCAGGGTATACTATACCGCACTCAATACTTCCTTCGCTTTATATTCTTTTTCTTTATAAGCGTGTTTGAGGATTGGTATTCGTGGGATAATAATGGTAACCCCGCCCGTGTTAACGGTATACGCTTGGGGGGAAAGGGAACAATCCCTTGTTAGTAATGGGGTCAAATAACCCCATTATTAGCAATATATCCTGTCAGGTCGATCTGCACGTGATTTCCCCTGGAAACCGTTGTGGTTAATTCTAGTTGAATTCGTCAGGATGGGCTAACTGACAAAAAAGTCTACGAGAGCATATGTCTATCTTTTAAGGTTAACTTACTATGTCCATTAAGGTATTTGCATAAGCTATTAATAGAAATTAAAATACATTAAAAATACTCGCAACTAGCGTGATAATAGGCTACATTTAAATCTAATACATACTCGACGCAAACTGATCCAAAAAATGCAAGAATGTATGCTCTACTCCCCGTGGGAAATCGGGGCGGGTCGCTAGTGACATAATTTGAGTGACTCTAACATACATATTAAAGTTAATGATTATTATTTATGATTTCTATTTTTTTTTTTTTTACAGTTGGATAACGGCCGCGTGGCACTAGAAGGCGTACTCTCGGAAGAGTATTATAAAGTCAGAGAGCTGCTGTACGACCAATTCGCTATAGTTTAACGTTGACTGATTGTAAAAATATTAAATATGTTTTCTAATAAAGTATTAAATTAAATGGTGTCTTATATTATTTTCTATTTTTATAACTATTTTTTTTTTTTCATTTATTTAAAATATCAATAGAAATACAGGCTACAAATATAAAACAGCGAAACAAAACCTCGTTTGCAGTTATTAGTATTGATAAAAAGTCCCGAAATATCTTTTCAATTAACTTCAAGAAATAGTAAATTTTTAGTTCGGTTATATTTTTCAACCGACTTGAAAAAGGTTCTGAATTAAATTGTATTATTTATTACTTGTTATATAGGGGAGAGTGGGGGAATTGAGAACGGCGGGTAATTGGGAACAGCTAGGTAAATAATACTTCCCCCCACATTACACCGTCCCGCACTTATTCAACGGACGCATCCAGTGCCCCTTAGTGTACACCAAATAGTAAGAGTGAAAGGCCACATGTACCCTGTCACGATAAGTCGAACAATGTTTTTTGCATTTCTTTTATAATTTTTGTCGTGTCTTATAATAGGTGTAACTATCATATTTTTGAATTCAAAGGCACCATATTTTGTTATTATCATGCATGTACTATCTGCTTCCAAACCCTACGTGATTGAAGGTTATCAAAAATACTATTGAGGATGGCGGCCATTTTGATATATATTGACTACTTTGGGCAATTGGGAATGGCATCAGGCGGGTAATTGGGAACGTTTTCAATGACCCCTCGCGTTTTTAGTTTACCCCTAGTGCTGCTAGTTAATTATGTAAAAATGTTTTAACTTTAAAAATTGTTTTAGATGCCTCGAAACTATATACGAAAGACTGAATCGAAATACAAAATTGAAGATCTTCGCCATGCAGTTGAAGATGTTAGAAGTAAGAAGCTCACATTAGGCCAAGCTGCTACCAAATATTCAATACCAAAATCAACATTATTCAAACAATTAAAAATAAAGTCAAGACACTAAAAAAATGTCGATCTGCTGTATTTAATAGAGAACAAGAAGACCAGCTAGAAAAATATATACTTGATTGCTGCAAGACTTTTTATGGAATAACACCAAGTTCATTACGTAAAATTGCTTTTCGATTTGCTGAAGCTAATAAGCTGAAACACAATTTTAACAAAGAAACCCAGCTAGCAGGCAAAGACTGGTACTATGGCTTCATGTCTCGACATCCTTCCATCAGTTTACGGATACCAGGAGCTACTTCACTTAATAGAATAACAGCTTTTAACGTCACCGAAGTGAATCTGTTTTTTGATCAACTAAAAATGATCCAAACAAAACACAATATACCTGGTCATCGTATTTTTAATATTGATGAAACTGGCATTAACACAGTTAAAAAAATTACACAATTTTAGCTCCAAAGGGTTTAAAACAGATAGCCAAAGCGACAAGTGGAGAACGTGGTGTCACAACAACAGTAGTTTGTGCTGTCAGTGCTAGTGGTGTATATGTACCTCCCATGCTTATCTTCAAAAGAAAAAGAATGAATGGACTGTTAATTTAAGGCTGTAATAGCGACATGATTGCCACGGTTTCTGATTCCGGTTGGATAAATGAGTCCATTTTTCTTGATTACTTGCGACACTTTATTTCTTTCGTAAAACCTACCAAAGAAGAACCAGTATTATTAATACTTGATAATCACGAAAGTCATATCAGCCTGGGAGCATACAAGCTTTTTCGAGAACATTACTTGCAAGTTCTTTCTTTGCCTCCCCATGTATCTCACAAAATGCAGCCACTAGATCTCACAATCTTTAGTTCACTGAAGATAGCATACAATAAGGAATGTGAGTTGTACATGGTTAACAATCCTGGGAAACGAATAACCCAATACGAGATTGGAGAACTTTTTACAAAGCCGTACAATAAAACAGCTAACATAAGCAAGGCTGTCAGTGGATTTAGAGCCGCTGGAATTTATCCTATTAATCCTGACAAATTTAAAGACATCTTTGAGAATATGACATCTAATCAATCCTACATCAGTCAGATTCAAGAATGCGATGCTCATAAAACTACAGCTGAGCAAAGTTTAAATTTATCCGATAACACTGTCAGCCAAAGTAAAATGTAAACTGTGCCTCTTGCCGAAATCATTAATGTGCCTATCATTCCTAAAACAAGAACCACTTCTGTGCGACAGAATAAGAGACATTCTCAAATTTTATCCAGCTCACCGATAAAAATTGAACTTGAGGGAAAGCAGAAAAAACAAAATGAGAGAAAAGCTAAAAAAGAAAAAGTTCCGAATAAAACACTAAAAAAGAACATTAAAACCATAAAAAAAAATCCATGGGTCAAGGGTAAAGGAGTGAAAAATTTAAAAAAGGAAAATAAGTTTGAAGAAGAGTTTTATTGTATAATGTGTAACGAAAAATATGAATCTCCGCCGACAGAGGATTGGATTATGTGCGTCATCTGTAAACTCTGGGCACATGAAAAATGTACTGCTGGTGAGACTAGTCTAGGGTACGTGTGTGATATGTGCCAACCAAAAAAACTATAGTTTATTATAAAGATTTAATTGTGTCGTTTCTAATTACCCCATACCGTTCCCATTTACCCCTCGGGATGATCTCAATTACCCCATAGGGTATCGGGTAAAAAGAAACGACAAACGAGTTTTTTGTTTTCGTTAAAATTTCTAATGAAAAGTTGATTCTTGAGAGTTTTTCTGTAACTGGATAAGTAGATAGATAAGTAAAGTTTATATTGTAATAAAAGTTGCTATATCTAAGACTTTTTTCTATTATTTTTGGACGTTGGAAGTTAAGTGTTCCCAATTCCCCCACTTTCCCCTATATATTTTTTTTTATTATATGTTTATTATTTTATAACTCCGTCAGTCATAAATCGATTTAGAAACTATTTTTTTTATCTGAATATTTTTTCTTATCAGTAAGTTATACTCACAGACTGCTCTCATAGCTTTTTATCAAAATCAGTTCGGTAGTTTTTAAAACTGGTTCTGTCACAATTGAAGTCTTTTTTTTTTTTTGTGGATTACAATCTTATTTCTTCCTTTATACTAATAGAAATTTATCAAAAAGCCAAACCCTTACGGTTAATAGTATTATAATGTAATTTAATATTCTATTCTATGTATATGTAAAATTTTGTATGTTTAATATTCAATCAAGCTTATATGTTTGAGACAGGGTTAGAATTAATTTTGTACACCGATAGACCATATTCTAGATTAACACATGCTACTTTATCCTCTACACAACAACTAAGTGGTTGTAAGATGTATATCTTGTAAAAAAAAATAAAGTATTTACTGTTTAATTTCTATATGTTATTATTTATCTTCAGTGACGCCCCTAGAGTTGCAGGTGTGTGTAGTCTACAGTAATCGTTTACCATCAGACAAATTGTATGCATGTTTGCCACTTTCGTAGTATAAAATAAAATACAATTATTTTCACCTACCATCCATCACTGGTATCCCGCCAGCGTATGCAGTTAGCGCGGGCGGGGTAACCATTCCATTATAATCAATAAAAAAAAAACTAATTCTCTCTGCCTACTCCGTATAGAACGAAGCGTGAAGAAATATAGAAAAATATGAAATAAAAATACACTTATCACCGCTTTATAATTTATTTCACATAGTACCAGGATCAGGTCACATTTAATAACAATATATAAAGAAAAAGGTACGACTTCGTTAAATACAAATAAGACACGGGCACGGTTAAGGGTTCGGACACCTACTCCTTGATCTGAGATTACGCTAATATAAAAACAATATTTACATGTTCCAGTCCATTTTTATACTTAACTAGTTTTCGGATATCAATTCGGACGGATCGTACGCGGTGTCGCACGCCGCTTCGGTTTGTTGTATGGTCCCATACATATTATATACAACGATTAAAATCCTGCGCAGATGATAGACATTTCTCCCGCGCAAGAAACAACATTGTAATATGCGATTTTTTTTTAATGTTGTTACAACTAACTTATATCTTACGCCGCCTTTTTTTGTAATCAAATATAAGCCGAAAATAAAATGGCCTTTGTGCACAGATTATAATCGAACGAATGTATCATCATAAGATACCGACAGAATGTACAAATTAGCCCCAGTGGTCTATGGATAGTAGTATCCGGAGCCTATAAACATCGCACTTCAACAAAGGTGAATACAGAACTGTTTAAAAAAAAAAGGAATTTTAAATTTCTAGATCTCTAATTACTGCATAAAAACTAATCGATAACGATATCTGAAAATGAGTTCGTTTCGTAAACAAATTATCATTATAATTAATATTAACTATAAATACCCAGCACAAAATGTTTTTTTTTTTTTTCAAATAGTTACATAAAATCATAATAAGTACAACTTTACTTGACACGTTTCGTTTAGACGTTGGTGCAAGCCACGTCGGCAATGAAGAAGCAGGTATGTACTATTTATCTGTAAAAGTTTTTACATTGCATTAAGTTCCGATTGTGTATTTAAAATATGTGTAAACAACGCGAAAATTTAAAATTAAGTTTACTTAATTATACAATTATATTTATACAATCTTAAAATTAGACTCAATTATAGTTTTCGCCGATAACAGGATCAAAATGCTTCCAGAAAAAAATTTTACAGAGTAAGAAATGGATGATGTATTATCTGTTATACTAATATCTAAATGTACTTTAACGGATACATTGGACTTTTTGTACATTTATTTTTTGTACATTTATTATTGCATACATTTATTTAACACCGGTATTATAAGTATTCATATTTATAGACAACGCGCGACGGTTACCACTTTTCAGATACCACTGGCCGAACGAGCCTATCTAGGTCAACCGTGTAGTCCCAGCATAAAATGAACCGTAGTGGAATGCGACTGCGTACAATCCGACTCGAGATTAAGCTGTGGCTTGAATAATATCGGAAACTGCATAGCTGCCACTCTCCTCAAGTAGATATATTAAGTGTCAATTTAACAAAAATAACACACGTAAATATACATATAAAAATAATTCTTTCGCTGATTCCAATTTTATGATATGAGTTAATCATAATTTTAACTTTTAGAATTTTGTCCTGTTTCTTTTAGTAAAGAAAGCTTAAAATAAAGCTAAAAATAATATCATCGCAGTGCTACCTGCAGTGCAAATTATATAGTAGATGCATCATATAATTATTGTTTATATCTGTATGCATAATAACCATAAACTATGGTTTTGTTTGCTCTACGGATGGATAATTAGCTAGCTTTTAGCGAATGGGTAATGTATGATTTACTAATTCTATGTAAAAAATTGTCATCCCAAATAAAACTAAATAAATAAATAGTAAATGGCAACGCATAGGGGGTATCATGGGCGAAATAGTATACTCTGTTATGTCCATGGTACTGCTCATGTCTATAGGCGACGGTTACCACTTTCCATCAGGTGGGCCGTTAGCTTGTTTGCCATTCTAAGTTGTATAAAAAAAAACCATATTTTTGCAATTTCTGTACTAATTTTGTTACGTAAAACCAATGATTTTTTCATGGAAACTTTTTTTATGACCCACTTGACGAAAAGTAACCGTCGCCTAGAGATGAGCAGTACCATGGACATAACAGAGTATACCGTTTCGCCCATGTTACCCCCCATGCGTTGCCATTCCTGAGGACTCGGGTGTTATTCATCTGTATGTTATTATTCAATATTATTATTCTCACTCCGTGGTCATTCAAGCCACAGCCACCTCGCCAATAACATAGTAATCGCAGATCAACAACGTCGAATAAACTTATCGGCTACATGTGGCACATGATACAGCGTTCATACCCTGAGAACACCACAGCATACGAGAAACTGTTAAAAGACTATAAATAACGTAAATATTCTTAACATAAGAATCGCTACAACAAAACTTTCAACTCACTGGAATAACTTTATTGGCTCTATTCGTCATTCATCATTTCCAATACTATACTATAGTAGACAAATCTTTTGTAAGCTCAACATTCACTTATATATATCACTGATGTGTAAATATATCATTTCATGATATTAATATATATATTGTTTCGCTATACAATGTTATACATTCTGATATATTGTGATTGGTAACAGGTATTGAGGTATTTTCACTGTTCCACTACACATATATATTATATTTTAAAACTTATATTCATTTTAATGTCTATTTTTATGCAAAACAAGAATTTTATAAACTTACTATGTTGTTATTCGAGTGCGAAACGAGACGCTGTGTCGTAAAGCATCGTACACCCCTTGAAGACTTCCAGATGAAGTCGAAACAATAGTTGGCAACGACAAACATAGTAAGTTTATAAAATCACCATTGTGCAATGTATATAGACATATATATATTATATATTCGATCTACATAACTTTTTTTTATATACAGAAAATATTCAAATGACCATATTAACAATATTGTACATCGGCATGGCAACACTCCAAAATATATTAAATTTGGTTGTAATATACTAATATGTATATAGTTACATTAGTGGAACAGCTCTAAAAATTATTTATATCCCATTATATATGACAATCTTTCAAATAAATCCACTTCTACTATTAACAAACTATTGTAATGTTCAAATTATAATAAGAATTTATAGGCACTGTTTATACTACATCCGAACAATAATGTATACCAAACAAATGTATTTCTAAATGTAAATTTTATAATTCAAATATACAGTAGCCATAATTTACAATCATATCACAGTTAAAAATTGACAAAATATAAAATTTTATTGGGTCGTCTTAAGTTTTTTTTTTTTTTTTTTAAATTACCAATTTATAAGAAAGTTGATAAATTCACCAAAGACATTATAAATAATCTTAAAAAAATTATCTATGAAATTACCTTTAATTAATTCAAAATTTGCTACATGATCATGTAACAAATACTCTTTTTTTTTTTTATTGGCCTTTAACATTCAAAAGCAGTTGATATTTGATATATCCATAATGTTAGTATTACTGCAATGGACTTTACATAAAACCCTATCACAGTATAAACAGTTCCTATTCTCGCTAATTAACGTTTTCAAAAAAATATTAAAAATAAAAACAACAGTTTAATGATAAATGCGCCGAATACGGCCCCCGCATTTACCGTATTTACATTATTGTACAGTCGGGGAAACTACCATTCACGACATGTGATCGAATTCATTGCTCAAAGCTACACTACACATGACTTTAGTACGCAAAAATAATAATAAATTAAACTATCACTAACAGGTATTGCCAGCGCAATAAAATATTTAACAATTAAAAAATATTACCGCAATCAAATTAATCCAAATATCACGAGGCATCATTTTGTAGGCCCAATTAGTAGTATTTTTTGTCAACGAAATTTTTATAAGAGTTCGATTCACAATAAATGGAAACGATTATTAATTAATTGTACATATATAAAACAGTATGTGCAGTCTAACTTCTAAGTGCGAAATAAACGGCACATAATTTCCTCGACCATAATAATCTCAAACCACACCCCGTACAGTAAAACTAGATATATTTTTTTTTTAATATTATACAAAAATAGTAACAAGTTTGTACTACGTCTGTCCATCGTTTTGTACATTAATGGCGCGGGGACGCGACAATGTCTATAGGAGAACATAATATGACAGTAGCCGCCGCACTGTTCTACCATTCACAGCCATAAAACACGGAGTCCGGACAACATTCACACATAACAATAACACGGGGTTAAATGCAGACCTAATATGGCAAATAGTACTCACTATTTAATGTGATATGTTGATTTTGTGATGATGATGATAAAAGTCGCGACCCGGCGCCCGGGTTGTATAGTCACTTGTATTCACGCTCACTCATTTTCGCCGTTATACGCTCAATCATTTTCGCCGTTATACGCTCAATCATTTTCGCCGTTATACGCTCACTCATTTTCGCCGTTATACGCTCACTCATTTCCAAGCGTTACGCTTGTATCGCTCACTCACAACCGCGTGTTACGCTCGTTTCGCTCACTCACTGCCGGTCTACACGGTCAGGCCTACCGTAGACTGGCCTCGAGCATCTCTACGAATAGTTTGTTCATGGGCGCGCGACGGTCGCGGTGCACGGCCGACCAGAAGCGGCGGACTGCGACGTCGGCGTGCCGTAACGCCGGCAACACTAGTAATAACTGTTGTAGCGCCGCGTTCGCGTTGTATGGCCTGTTGAGACATTATTTGTTTGTTATTTTATGTTACAATTACCATTTTTGATAACAGAACTTATAGATAGATAAAATCTATGCTAAGGTAAAATATGAAAATTTAATAACTTGGCAACAGCGTCGCATTTAAACATAAGGTATATAGGTTATTCACCACTAATGGACTCTTGTCACAAATGGACAGAATTGTTTAAGAGATTAGGTAAATGGAAAAATGAGCACCTAATCCCAATATTAAAATGGAAAATTAAAATTTCTACCAATGTGTGTCGAAATTTTATTACTAGCAACACCATCACCATGTCTGGGGATTCCCTTCAAATATTTTGCATATAATTTAAAAAATAATATTGAATATCTCAATAAATATTTTTATTTTCATCTCATCAATTCAAATGAATTTTAATCACTGTATAGCAGCCTTTCTCAAAGTGGGCGATAACGTCCCCTTGTGGGCGCTGCAGGCCTAAAGGGGGGCGGCCCAGAAAAAATTGATTAGTTTACTTAATTTACACAATAATTGATTAATTTAATTTGAAGTGATAGTGGTCTTTAAGTAGGTGAAAAAATGGGGACGCTAAAAATAATTCATTCTCAAAGTGGGTAATATAGTATAGGGTGCCTAGTAAAATAAATCAAAAATTAAGTTAAAATGTAAAGCTGTCTTGTGCATCTAACAAATAAATAGATAATAGAATATTAGTTTGTAATTTCACAGTAAAATTGGTCAACCACAAATATGGTCTAGGGTCCCACAGACCCTAAATGTGGCACAAGTACATAGAGGCCATCTATTCTACTCCTTATCATTCTCAGAATGTGGTTCTAACCTAGGAATAGAGGGGGGAAAGGGATTGTTAGTAATGGAGACTGAGAATCCCATTGCTAGCAATATACCCAACCAGATCGACCTCCTTGCGGTTCCCTCTGAAAACTATCATGGTTAATTCTTGATGAATTCATCATGATGGGCTAACTGACCTGTTTTCATTCTCATCTATCACTCTACACTGGTGTTCCGCCAGCGTATCCCATTAGCGCAGACGGGGTTACCATACCATTTTCAACCATAAAAAAAACCTAAGAATACATGATGACGACAGACGATGCAGTGTGGAGCTACGAGCTGATCACAATGGTGATAATGGTGGTAGTACCTGAGCACGGAGACGGCGTCGTTGAGGGCGGCGAGGATGTGGTCGCGGAAGCGGCGCAGCGCGGCGGTCTCGTCTATTCGCGCCTCCGAGTTGGCGAGCGCCAGCGCCTTCAGCAGGTAGCACTCCTCGCGCATGGCCGCCGCGCTCTCCAGCCGCTTCGTCACGCCCGCCACCTGCCGCGTGCCCACACACATCAGTCAGACAATAGTACTCACTCAAACGACAACTTATGGTCACATCATAATATGTATTTGGGACAATAGACAATTTTACAATTATTCTTAAATCATACAAAAAGTACATACAAACATCTGAATTGTTTTAAATTCTATTTAATTTACCGTTAACCACAAATTATTATACTATAACTATGTTACTGTTAATTTTTACAAAATTCTCTCTCCCTCTCTCTTTCTCATCCTCCTTAAGAGGAGCTTAAGGAGAGGAGATGGCAACTAACTCCCGGCAGAAGCACAGTCGGCCGGGGTTCAGAGCCCCAGGGAGAGAAACCGGCGTACAATGCGGGCAGAATCTAAGAGCACCGCTTTCTGCATCTTTTCCGGAAGTGAGCCGCCTCGGAATCTCAACCGTCTAAGATGTTGTTCTAGACTGGTTGGGATAAGACCGTTCACCGACAAAACGACTGGAATAATTTCAGTAGACGCCATCCCCCACATTTCGGTCACCTCTTGAGCCAGGTCGAGATATTTTCTTTATTACTGTAAATTTATTATTATTATTTCCGCCGTTAACTGTCCACTGCTGAACATGCTTTCCCCATAAGGGGAAATCTTGCCAGTAGTTGTCACGTTTGGCAGGCGAATTGGCAACCGTAGTTATGCTTTTACAGATGTTTTAAGAGAAACGCTGCTGCCCATCCCTGCACCATAAGCTCCCTTAGTCGCCTCTTACGACACCCACGAGAAAGGAAGGGGTAGCCCATTCTATGCCGGGACCTGAACGACGAATTTATGTTACTTTAATTATACAATTACTTGCAATAATAGAATATGGATGTAGATAAGGAAAATAGGGCCGTTTGGAGGTTCTCCAGGATCAAAGGCCCGGGACGGGACTGTTAGTTCGCCGTGTGGTCCCGGCATAGAACGGACCACCCCTTGCTTTCTCGTGGGTGTCGTAAAAGACTATTAAAAAAACTTAGTAGTCGTGTCCCTCTTTCAACATCACTAAAGCCTAAATGCGGTTTGCCAAATATTGCAACTACTGGTAAACCTCCCAATAGCGAGAGCTGACGGTTGGTGTTATGATGACGCGTCAGTATTACCTGCGCGAACAGGTTCTGTGCGCCAATATCGCGGGCCTGCTGCTCGTCGAGCGCCAGGTCGGACGCGAACCGCAGCCGCAGCGGCCCGCCGCCCGACATCGACCGGTACGCCAGCATCAGGCTCAGCATCTCCGCCCACGTGCTTTGTAGCAGCCGCATCTGCGCGCACACACACACACATATACATAGTTATTATTATAGTGCAACATATACTACTAATATGAAAAGAAAAAACATGACTGTGTTTGTTTGTTTGTTTGTAATGGATAAAATCAAAAACTACTCAATCAATTTTAAAAATCTTTTAACCTATAGAAAGCTACATTACCAGCGAACAACATGGGCTATATAACATTTACGAAAAATCTATCTACCAATACGTATTTATTAGTACCAGTATTTGGGGGGAAAGGGATTGTTAACACTGGAGTTTGACAGCCCCATTGCTAGCAATATGCCTTATTAGGTCTACCTCAACGTGGTTCCCCCTGGAAACCATCGTGAACAATTCTTGTTGAATTCGTCACGATGGGCTGACTGACCTACTTCATCTTCACCAATCATCCTCCACTGGTGCCCCGCCGGTGTATTCTATTTTATTGCCGGTGTATTTTGTTTTCGCCAACTTAAAAAAAAAGCAGTTTTGTCACGATAATTTTTTTTTATCTACTTTCCGTGTAAACATCGAAACAAAAATATACTCACTTGATCGTTGAGCTGCAGATCCGTAAAGCCCGGTATCTGCTTGGCCCAGCCTATGACACCGACCAGCTCGCGGTCGTACAGGTCAGCCAGCATGGCGAGGGTCCTGGCGTTAGCGTCGGTGACGCCCGCGGGCGGTGGCGAGCACGTCATCAGCTCCGGCTCGTACGATGTGAGCGCTTCTAATACCTAAAAAAACCGGGGGAAAAGGGATTGTTAGTAATGGGGTCAAATAGCCTAGCAATATACTAGCAATATACCCTGTCAGATGGACCTCCACGTTGTTCCCCCTGGAAACCATCGTGGCTAATTCTAGTTGAATTCGTCAGGATAGGCTAACTGACCTGCTTTCATCCTCATCAGTCATCTCTCACTGGTGTCCTGCCAGTGTATACCGATAGCGCAAACGGGGTTACCATACCATTATCACCCATTAAAAAAAAACCTGAAAACCATTCGTGTGAGTTTGATAAAGGATTACTAAAACAAACATTACTTTATGGATTTTAATGCAATTTGGCGTACGAATATGTCATATTATAACTAAATACATGGGATAGCTACAAGATTTATGTCTACATTTTTATCAATACTTTATATTACTATATTTCAATTGAATTTTCTAATCTGTCATTGTATATGTTTTATATTTTTGATGCAATAAAGAGTTATATAAATAAATAGCTATTTTGTTACATATTGATCCGCGGTAAGAAGGCTGTATGTTTTTTTTAACAGATGATAATCAAATGGCAACCCCGCTCACTTTAACGGTATACACTGGCAGGACACCAGTGAGGGAAGACAGTTGAGAATAAAAAGGCAAATCAGGCAGCCCATCGTGATGAATACATTTGGAATTCAGCGCGATGATTTCCAGGGGGAACCACGTGGAAGTCGATCTGACAGGATATATTGCTAGCAATGAAACTGGTAGTCCGTATTACTAACAATAAAAGCAAGCAGTACGTTAACAATAATGGTTTATTATATATAATTATACTTATATATCCATTCTGCTTAAATAAAAATAAATGAATAAATGTATATTCATTTACTATATTTATTTTCTCTTCCAACTCTCCTGATCCTGTAATCCTATCCCAAAATTTCTTGCCACTATATCTCTGCTTTGATCCGCGTTAATTTCCCTGCTTTTTAATTAAACTTGAAAACAGCTAATGGCTACCCTAAAAAGCCGGAGCCAAAAGAAGAAAAAGAAATTGGTAGCGAGCGATCGATCACCTTGATGTCGTCGAGGTGCGGGCGCGGCTGGTGCGGCTGCGCGGCGTCGGGCGGGCGGCGGTACTTCTGGCGGCCGCCGCGCACGCGGTCCAAACGCACGCCCTCGCGCAGCATGCCCATGCGCAGGCACTTGCGGAAGCGGCACGCCTGGCACGCCTTGCGCCGCCGCTTGTTGATCTCGCACTCGTTCGACGCCGGGCACGTGTACTCGATGTTGCCCTGCACCAATTACAACAACACTTGGCTTAATGTAAACAAATAATTTACTGTAGGTACACAATTACAGTTTACTTCAATAGAACTTAATGTAAATTCTACTGAAACAAACTGTACGTACGTTAGTATGGATTCAACAAAATAATCATCGTCTTCCTACCCTTATCCCAATTAATATTTGGGGTCGGCGTAATATAGTTTTATCCATATAACTAGAGGATTTGGCTTATAGTTTTACGACCGGCCGTCTGCCCGATGTCAACCCTCTTTGGGGATTCAACAAAACAATATTGTAATTAAAACATTGACATCGACTACAAAAATCTCATTCCATAAAGATTTTTTTTTATACCATGAAGATGGTAAAAACAAGAAAACAGTCCGTCGTGGTAAACGGTCACTGTAGCCTATGGACGCTTGCAACACTAGGGATGTCACATGCACGCTGCCGACCCTGAAGAAAACTTTATATATCCTTTTTGATAAATCTCATACTGTAGTCTCTGGGGAAATAACTAAATGTTTTCTTTTTTTTATAATAAAAACTGCCAAAATGTCAAATGTCACCCGCACAATACATCACTTAGAAGAAGGCTCTGCTGGTTTCCAAGCTTTACTCTTTCATTTGGTCCCAGTTTGGTCGTCTTGACTCCGTTCAAAGACGAGTTATGAAAATAGTCGATGATCCCATGCTCAATATTGAGCCCTAAGTCTAAGGCTAAGGCGAAATTTTGTCTCACTATGTGTGCTTGTATAATGAATTGTTCTGAGAAACCGATAGTGTTGCAGGCGTCAATAGGTTACAGTAATCGTTTACCATCAGATGGATCAGACTTAGGAGAGACTTTGCCTCACTCTGCGTGTTCTACCGCCTGTACAATGGATTGTGCTCAGAGGAATTGTTCAATATGATGCCCACAGCCATCGTACGGCTCGCCATCGACAGGGAGCTCATCCTCATGTCCTACAGCCTCAATGGTCGCGTACTGCGCGTGGTCCCAACATAGAATGGATCACCGCTTCCTTTCCCGTAAGTGTCTTAAGAGGCGACTAAGAAGATTTAATGGTCGAGAGATCGGCAAATAACGTCTCTTTTAAAACATCACCAAAAGCTAACTGCGGTGGGGCCAACCCGCCTGCCAAGCGCGGCAACTACTGGCAGAACTCTCCTTATGGGGAAGGTCGATGTTCAGCAGTGGACAGTTAATGACTTATATAATATATTAACAATATAAAATTGTATAAATATATACCTATATATATATATAAGATATGAGTAGCAAGAGATGAGTAGAAACAGAAGCTTTTGGCTCTCGGTTGTCTCCACCAACACATCGATATGGGTACAATAGTGGTAGATATGATATTCAAATTATATATATATATATATATATATATATATATATATATATATATATATATATATATATATAAATATTGAATAATCCTTCCCATGTAATGGACACAACATAAGCAACAATACGACAGTAATAGGCTCATAACAATACTATATACATATGAGCAATGTGACATTCCGCGATAATGGATACCCGAGTGTATTGTTCTCATTTTGGATTCTATTAAGTATTATCGAAAACCATTAGTTATTACATCTTTAGGATTCCGTATTCTCGTATTCGAACGGCACAATGGTACCTTAAACGTGGCCCTAAAGGCAGATCTCAGAATATTCCAAAACAACAAAAAAATTTAATTTCATCTGCAATATATGGGAACCAAGCATGTCAGAAAAGAGAGCATTTAGTAACGAGGATTAGTAATTAGACTAGCTATTGAGTACCGTTCTTAGTAATATATCCTATTGGGTCGACCTCCACGTAATCCCTCTTTGAAACCGTCGTGAATTGGTCATGATGGGTCAACTGTTTTGAATCCATCTATCAGAGGGAGACTTTGTACAAAAGTCGTTTGCTTGGGTGCCTCCGTACCATTAGTGTGTATCTACCGTGAAGCAGTTGTGTTTGCATGGCTGTGTTTTGGTTCGAAGATGCCTTTGTCCCATACTTATTTCTACCATGAAGCAATTGTTTGCATGGCTGTGTTTTGGTTCGAAGGGTGGACTTTTTTTTTTTATGAGTGAAAATGATATGGTAACCCCGCCTGCGCTAACGGGATACGCTGGCGGAGCACGAGTGAAGGGTGATAGGTGAGAATGAAAACAGACCAGTTAGCCCATCATGATGAATTCATCTGGAATTAACCATGATAGTTTCCAGGGGGAACCGCGAGGAGGTCGACCTGGTTGGGTATATTGTTAGCAATGGGATTCTTAGTCTCCGTTACTAACAATCTTTCCCCCCCCCCCCCCCCCCGAAGGGTGTACTATGGCTATGAAATTACAAGGCACACAGGTATAATACCTTAACCCTCGGGTAGGGTATCACTAAAGTGACTATAAATGAGTATGACACGTCTTTAGTGACAAACTTCTGACGCTACCGATGTTCGCCGGTTTCTGGTCCAAACTCTTACCTGTATTGTCCTTTTGAAGAACGCTTTACACGCCTCGCAACTAGCGACTCCGTAGTGGAAGCCCGACGCGACATCTCCGCATACTAAGCACACCCTTCTGTGTGTGTCGTCGTCCCTGGTGCCAGTGGCGGCCGCCGCTGTGGTCGACGAACAGTGCTGTTGCTCGGGGCTTGTGTTCCCCACCACCGCCCCCTCCCCGGGGGACACGCAGAATTTCACCTCCTCTTTTGGTTCGAGATCCAGCTGTGAATAAAATAATAATGTAACTTATTAAAACACGTTGGATCACGGGGAAGGGATTGTTAGTAATACGGACTACCAGTCCTATTGCTAGCAATATACCTTATCAGATCGACCTCCACATAGTCACCCCTGGCAACCAGTGTTGAATTTCAGGTGTATTCATCACGATAGGCTTACTGACCTGCTTTTTCATTCTCACCTATCATCCATCACTAGTGTCCCGCCAGCGTATACTGTTAGCGCAGGTGGGGTTACAATTCCATTATCATCCATTAAAAAAACACGGTGGATTCCAATACGCTCTACGCAATGTGGACATATCCAATGTCAGTTTCGCTAGAAAGGTAGGTCCAAAAATAGCCAACTACTCCATCTGTGATTGCAGTCGTGAACATATTATGTTTTTAAACATAATGAATGATAGATGATGCAGCAGGTTAAAAATGCAGAACGGCAAAAAATGAGCGATAAAAAATGATGAGCGGCAAAAATGGGATGCGGTGATCGCTTGCAATCAAGCGAATTGCACGGTATACTTCTAAGCCATTATTGTTGTATAAAAAAATATTAGAATACGTATATGTACAAATAACACTATTAAGTGATAATTCTAGACTCTTCTAGATCATTCTAAATCTTAATACTAGAAATGGATAAACTATTTCTATCATAACAACTTCATGACAAAAATAAAATTTTATATTTATATACTACATACTACAAAACGTCATTGTGTGTGTTTCGTACAGTATTTTCAGCTGTTGCCGTTCTTCAAGAAAAGAACGAGAAATACGGCAACGTTGCAACTAAAATTTTATGTTGAAAATATTTCTATTTCAAATATTTTGCCTATAGGTACGTCGTATTAGAATTTGTCATACCAAATTGAATATTAAGGGGCATTAAAATAAGATTTACTTTTACATTGAAATGACTGTGGAACATTCTTTAATAACAAATATAAAAAAAATATCAAACGAATCGCATAGTATACTCGTAAATTATTCTTGTTGTAAGAATGTTAAAAAAAATATTTAAAAAACAATTGTACAATTGCGGAAATAACTAATAAAAGATTCTTGAATGGCGCATAAAAAAAAATACCGAATTCTACAGATTAAAACAAGCGCGCAAAAATCATCCCAAAGATGAAGAAAACCGCAAAATCAATAGTTACATTAGGCATTTGTTATTTATGGACGGACGGTCACGTTGTTCGATATTGCTTAATACTTTTTTATACAATTTGAAGATCAAGTGTCAAGATACGCACTAAAAACAAAATATAAATAAAGAAAAAAAAACACAGGCGCGCGGTTCAATGTCAAAATGTGTTCCGCCCGATAAATATAGCGAGGTTTTATCAGAGAGAATATATGACAAATATTTTAATAATAAACTTATTTAACTGGACAGCTATGTGAAATCGAAATAATGAATTATGAAATTAGAAGGAAATCTTTTTATATGATACCAGCGTGGTAAATAGTAGACAAATCTCTACTCATAGACCCCGGGTCATATGCCCTGTGGTCACGACATAGCTAACCCATTCTTTCCCCAATATCAGAGAAATTGCAGGAGTGTTGCCGGCCTCTTATGAAATAAAAAGAACGAGTCTAAAGCAAGTGTCGCACTCACCTCAGACGGCTGCATGATCAGCGGCCTGTGCAGGGGCTGTGTGTGCGGGGGCTGAGGCTCCGGCGTGGGGTACTGTGGCGGAGGCTCCGCTTCCTGCTTCACACGTCGCAGCATTGGCTCTCCACTCACAGCCGACATCATTTGCACCTGGAACAACTGATGCCCATTAAGTTTTGCATGTAGACTTGTCCAGGACAACTAGTCCGACGTGTGCTGAACTTGCACGCTTAGGTTTGTGCATAAAGAAATCATATTTGTTCGTGACAGGCATAGATTCATGTAGAAAAAAGGGTCGTGCGAATAGAGCTCGTGTAATAAGGTTTCTACCTATAAATTATAGAAATGAAAGTCAAAAATATAAACAAGTAGTGGTTTTTCTGGAAAACCAATAGGCGTTATTAGTATTTACATTCGACTAATAAAGTTTCTCACTAATAATGAATAGACAAGTAGGCCTTATTCAATTTCCCTGTAATAGATAAACGAAGACGGACAAGTGCGTTTTGTAAGGGTGCTTTCTTTTTTTGGAATCACTTCAATGATTACTTTTCGAAGTTTATTATGACGGGAAAAAATATGGTGTGTTCATCTTCTTTTCTAGCACAATATACCACTGCAAGAGAAGGAAAACACGACATAAAACACTATACCAGGCCATTTGGCCAGCGTTAGTAATATCTGTATCTAGTAGTGGGATCTTATTTCCTTGCTATCATCTGCCAAAATAAAATGACTATCAGAATCGAGTTGCAGTCCTATTCACATTTTAACATGAATAAAGAGCCAACCATATTATAATAACACACGTGAACTTTCAACATGTTTTCAATTGCAAACACGAAAACAGCGCATCGAAATTCGTTGGAAAAAACAAAATAATCTATCTACGATATGTAAAAAGTTTCAAGGATACAGCTAGCGAGTTCATTCTCCTTTTGACATTGGCTGGCGTTGTTGATAATAAACGGGTGACGTAAGCAGGCATAAGTCTGCTGTGCACATTCTCATTATGCACCGTTTATTAATGTCCGTTTCATAACTCACAGTCGAACCAAATCAAAATTTAAAGTTAAGAAGTATGAGACCTACCGCAACGTGTGAGAAATATGAGACCTATCGCAACGTAGGAGAAATATTGGACCTACCGCAACGTGTGAGAAATATGGGACCTATCACAACGTAGGAGAAATACTGGACCTACCGCAACGTGTGAGAAATATGAGACCTATCACAACGTATGAGAAGTATAGAGTCCTACCGCAACGTATGAGAATTATGGGTCCTACCGTAACGTATGTAGGTCATCGTGTCATATATTATACTAGCGACCAGCCCCGGTTTGGCACAGACGCAATTGTTCTTATAATCTGTCTTAAATCTTAATTAAAATGTAAAGAAATTTACAATTGATCCGATCATAAGAAAGTCTGCTAACGTCTAATAATAGTACAAATTAAAAATCAATTAATTGATGTTACGTTCGGATTTGTTAATTATTTCAGTTAGAAAATATTTCTGTGATAAATTCAACAATACTAGATTACCTTTTAAATTCGAATCATCTTTATTCAAATAGACTTGTTTACAAGCACTTTTTAATCGTAATTTTTTTTAATCTAATGCAGGATTCGGAAAGTTGTTATCTATTGAGAAGAGCCAGCAAGAAACTCAACAGTTATTCTTTTAAATTTCTGTTAACATTATGTGTATTTATTTAAATGTACTATGTCTAAAATTTTATTTGAGTTCTATTAGAACAGACCATAAATACGTATAGAAAGTTATACCTAAATATGTAAATAAAAACAAAATATGCGAATGGATATAATGAATTGCATTCCACAAACAAAAGCCGACTTCTTTTAGAAAATTTCTTTGGGATTTTAATAAAATTTCTATGGAAGAAATCTGTATATACTTTTAAATAAAAAAAAATCAAATCGCTCTATAACTGATGAAGTTATAAGGTAACAAATATAATTAAAAAAAAAAAAAAATTGAATTGAGAACCAAGAACCCTTCTTCTAGAAGTCGGTTGAAAATTGGAGTTTCTTTAATACCAGATGATGCAACAGTTGCGTGTAAAATGGGTCAGCAGTGGACAAGGTCAGTAGACGAGTGTGAGCTCATATCGACACAGTTCAAAACTACCAACAACATAGAGAATACAATATAAAAAGTAATTTTAAAAACTTATTTTTTTTTTTCAACTATAATATATGATAATGGATGACGGAAATGTAATTATTTTACTGTGTTTGTAGTTTTTGACAATTATTCATTAAATTACCATATCATCATCATTATCACAACAGCTTTTAACTTTCTACTGCTGAACATACCCCCCCCCCCCCCACCTGGGTATTTGCCACGCTTAGCAGGCGGATTGGCAACCGCAGTTTTTGGAGATATTTTCAAAGGGGCGTAGTTATTCATACCTCGACCTGCCTTATCCGCCTCTCACGACACCCACGAGAAAGGAAGGGGTGGCTTATTCTATGCCGGAACCACACGGAACGGGAATAAAATATATATTCACGTCTAATGGTGTCAGAGGTGTTTGTCAATTATTTATGTTTTAAGAAGGTAACACTTCTAACGTGGCAGGGTTTATTTATTTTTTATTTTATTTATTTATTTATGGTATTTCAATCACAGATCAGTTACACGAGAATTTAAATTGAGAATGTTTTATTTTTTATTATTCTTGGAATGGCAAACACGAATATCATCATGAATATTTCCCGAATTTCGAGAAATTAGTATTTTTTTTTTAAATTAATCAAATTATTTAATTAGCTTAGGAAAGGTGTTCTTTATTTGCGTTTTTACACAAAAAGAAATGTCAGTTCTTCTCTAGCAATTACCAAATCCAACCTTGGTCAACTGACCGCTATAAACAATGAAAAAGTTATTATTTTTTTAATTTAATTTACCAGTTGTTTATGGACCACACCCAATTCTTAATGATAGCGATAATAGCGTAGTAAAAAGAGACATTTTGTAATAGATAATGAACCTGATTACTTACTTGCCTCGACAGTTTGATATCGAATAGGTACTGTTCATAATCGGGTCGGTGACCGCGCGTCCGAGGTCTCACCTTTGTAGATAAATGTAGGTACACGTCAATTTGACTAGCGAGCCGGTGCGCAACAGCGGCTGGATTGGGGCAGGCTCGAAAATTACCAATTTCGAATAGAATTTGAAATTTGAATATTCGTTCTCGAATTATATTTTAAATTTTGCGTTATGGCACACATTATTTTGTAATAGTCGTGCGTTTTTAATTTAGGATTACCAGGTGCAAAATTTAAAAATTGGAACAACTAATTTCATTTCTACTGAAGTGCCAAATAGGGATGCCCGCGTCAATTTTAAGTTACCTATATTAAATAGTATGAAATACTACACTTACTATGATGTATACAAATTAATATTATAAAAAAAAATAACTGTTGCAACATAAAACACTCTCAAGTGCCCAAAAATTCTGACAAAACAGGACAAATCCTGATGTCACTGGCTAAAATGACTTTTGTAGTGTAGTTTTAAAGTTCCCAGAGAAAAACGTTTATAATCGTTTGATACTTTTTAGCTTAATGGACAAAATTGAATGATATAGCTAGTTTAGTAAATAAGAGAAACACACTATTGCTCGTATATAGTGTTATTTATGATTTGATTTAAACTTATTTTACATAAATCAGACCTATTTATAACAGTAAAAGAATCCTCATATTACAATCATATTGCACCGAAGCCAAACTGTACAGGAAATAAGAAAAATACTTTAAGTATTTGAGTGCTTCTGTTTACAAATATTTATTAGCATAGGTAAGTGGAATAGGAACCATCTCTAAATAAGTTCGTCGAAAGATATCCAATTATAGTCTATATTTTATTTACTTTTTTTTTAACAAAGCCAATGTGTTTATAAATATAGATTTATATTTACAATATAGGTTAAAATTTCTTTACGGTAATTCTACATACATACATACATACATATCTGTCACGCCTGTCTCCCATTAGGGTAGGCAGAAACAATGGAACGCCAAATGCTTCGATTCAAACAAACCTCTTTCGCTAATTCTACATTATGGTAATAAAAAGAAAATACTAACAAACAATTGTATATTGTAACAATTATTTTGAAAATAGAACAACATTTATTTTTTATTATCAATATTCATTACGTTTTGTAAGAATGCTCATTACACAAGAGGATATTATTTTTTCATAATAAACAACTAGTTAGTTATCATTTAATGTCTACATTCAACTATTGTACTTTATTGTGTCACTATACTGACGATCCTTGGGCTAAAAATAGGTGACAATCATATTGTTTGCAATGCAAATTGGTACAAGTGTCACTTTGACTAAATTGAATATTTAATAAATAAAAAAAACCCTTACAGCAATATTATACATTGATATAATAAATACTTATAAAATAAATGTATTTAGTTTGTAAAACAAGTCAGTACAAAAGTACCTAAGAACACTAAATGTTTTCCTTCGAAATATATACAAAATTTTAGAGAAAAAAAAAAACATATTAGCATATACACTAAAATCTATGTGTTATTTGATAAATACTAAATTAAATAGGTATTGTTCGATGAATGCAAAACATTACACCAGACAGCCTTGACTAGCAGAATAACGCAATATAATGTATACATATATATAAATAAAGAAACTTGCCTCTAATGTCCAAATGAATTTTTCCGTTTAACTGGCTTATTTCCAAAATCCTGTTTTATTGAAAGCCTTAATTTATGAGGAGACTACGGTAACATACCCATTTAGAAAGGATACTTACCACAGATTCAAATAATAAAATCATTCTAGTACATACATTTATTTTAAGTATCGAAGGTAAGTATATATACTAGTTACTTAAATATTCGAAACTTGAATGTAAATTTGGAGTCAAATTAGTGTCTAATATTGAACAAAAAATATTAAAACTCAAAGCTAATGGCAGTCGCGACATCTATATTTAAATCTGTGAATCATTTCAGGATTGAATTACTCTACCATACAACGTTTCGTCTACATCATTTACGACAATAACTAGAAAATTTGTGCGGGTGACGTAACGCGAGCCTGCCAGATAAACCCGGACCTATCTCAACATTGGAACA